GCCTGCAAAGGTAGAACCTTAATGTTAACAGTATATCAGTTGCATTATGCACAAAAGCGAAGAAAAAGGAAAGGCAGAAGGCGCAGGCAAAGTGAAGAACAAGCTCAGCAAAGAGATATCCGCCTTAGTGCAATATATATCGAGCAATGCGATTCCACAATAAACAATATTGATATACAACCATAGACCTTTCTTTCTTTCTTCTCCTCCTTTGACTCTTCACCATGTTGCTTTCTTTTGAGTTGTTCTGACTTTGAGTTATCCTTTTCCTCCTTTTCTAAACCTTGCTTTTTCTTATCCTCCTTTTGCACGGCATGCTTACCCTTGCTTGGCAAATAGTCAACCGGAAGCTTCTCTTTTCCTTTTAGGGATATTATAGGCGAGGCTTCAGAAATAACAAGGAGCAACTTTTTTCTCCTCGCTCCAGGAGCTACAATTTTTCCAGGGTGGTTATCAAGATTTGAATACGTTGACACTATAGTTTCACAATCCCATACTTCTGACTCACTGCTGCTTTCATCTAAAACAGCCGCCTCTTCCTCTGGACCTTCATTTTCATACTTTTCAGCATATTCTTTGCACCGGCTTATGACATCAGCTGCAGGTTCAAGCAACTCCCCATCATCTGGTCCATTATTATTAAGTTCCATGCCATCAATGGCACACTCCTTAAATGCATGATTAAGCTTTTCTGCAAGGGACTCTTGACACTCATTTTCCTCAATCATATCATCATCATATTCATCTTCGGTATTGGAGCCATACTCTTGAAGTTCAAGCTGAAAAGGTGAGATGCAAGACAGTGATAAGACAATTAAACAATATCAGAGAACAAGCAGACATTATCTTAAATAGGCAGACATAATATCAACTCACTAGTGAATTAAAAACTTACAAGAGACTTAAGGACCCTCAAGACTTTTGTTAAATTTACAAGGAGGCCTACGTCAAGCAGACTATATTATTATTCTTATTCTCCTACCTAAAAGCAAGTAGACTCCAAATTTAAACAAGGAACGTCATATAATAAAGCAAACTCTGCTAAATTACTACAAAAAAAGAAAATGACCAAACTACTATGCACACCATAAGCTTAACCAAATAAGCTAAAACCTAGAAGCAACTTAGAAATGAAAATAAAATGTAAAGCTAAACCTACAAATCAGTACATGCTTATGGCTTCAATGATGTAAAACAAACTATTTTCTCTTATTTTCCTCTTTCAGCACATCACTAAACGGTTTACAATTTTTTCTAGCCCAATGAACAAACAAAAATGGCCAAGGAATGAGTCTAACAGCTTGCTGAAAAACAATAGCGTTAAGTAAACATAAACTGCACTACTTCCAAATACTATTTCACGTTTCAAATAGTAACAGTCTAAATCTTAATAGGATGTACTAATTAGAACTTAGAAGTACAGTCTGAGAAAAGAAGATAAGAGCTTTAGTGGAAATACCTAATACGTATAAACACAGACGTAAATATAAACTCAATCTCAGCTGAAAACATGTCATTTGTATGTATCTGAAGTTGTATTAGTTGATGCTGAAAAAGGATAATAATAAATCTTTCTACAAGTAATTACCATGATAAGAGACAAAAGGTTGCTTAGATTGCCTCTATTAGCAAGCAAAACGAACAAAGGAGAAATAAAACTTTTCAAAGAAACAATGTCTTGGGAAAATGCTCTTAAGGCAGATACTGAAATTTTACACCTAATGGGGCGGGCCTAACGGTCAAAGGGTTGGAGTAACAACCTTCAGAATCAAGATTTGAACGCCTTAGAGGCAACACTGGGTAAATTCTTTTTTCTTTTCCTTTTCGCATTGCCAAGCCAGCGCACCTCCACTATTCTACAATGCCCTGCAGCCTCCCACCATAACTAGGTAAATTCTTCCCATCCAACTAAGACATCGTGGGAAAAGCTACTCAATACTTGTGCTAGTGCGAGGTAGTATCTAGAAAGTAACCCAATGAATATCAAAATGAGCACCGCTCCAGAAGGCCCAGGACCACATTATCAGAGAAAAGACAAATTATACCAATTAGAACATTTACACGGGCTGAGGTTCTCTTATAACATAATTATGGTCTCTTTAGCTAGCTTTATTTGCAGTAATTGCTCTCTTGTAAGTTGTGATCAGGCTAGGAAAATAATAACCTCGAGTATTTGTACGGGTAAAAAAGGAGAACAAACTGCTTACCAGATCAAACTGTTCATCCAGAAGGCGGCGTGCTCTTGGCTTCTCTTCAAAAGTTGCAAATTTGGCCTCATTTCTCTGTACATGCCCAGATGTATCATTGCGTCCTACTTTGTCAAGGTTCGATTTCTCTGGCAAGCTTAAATTGTCATCAAGTTCCACATTAACTGCCCCATCGTGTAGGTTTGCCTTAATCATAAAATCTTCCTCTAATTCTAAATCCTCCACATCAGACCCAAAATGTGACAAATCACTGTCATCGAGCAAGGCAGCAACTTCAGGATCCAATGCCTTCTGAACTCTTACACCTATTGTCTTGGCTGCCACATTGTACACAGATTTCTCGTTGTAATCATCATTCACTTTTGCAACCTCGACTTTTGAAGCATCATATGCCTAGCCAAAACCAAAAATTCGTTAACTTAAAATAACAAGCCACAAAGCTAATGCCTTTAAAATTCATTAATCATTCTTTGCTTTTCTCCCTTCAGATAAGTATACTGGTAAGAACATATACTACCCAGATCCGAGCCAAAAGGCCGAGAAAGGTACAATTTTGATGAGTATAATATTCATAGAACCTCAAATAGAGCAGAATGGTATAAAGGATTTTATCTATCCAGGCGCCAATCAGATGGCAAAATCAAACTAATTCAATCAAAGCTGACATCTTATTACTAACTCTGTACAATGACATAAGACAGAACAATACTACTACAACAATTATGCCTCCGTCTCAAACAAGTTGGGGTCGGATATATGAATCCTCGCGGACCATGTTACTCCATTTAAACTCATCTATAATACGAATAATATTAATTCTGCAAAATTATATATACTAATGAATTAGACTAAATATTCAACCAAAGCTAACATATTGAGGCAGAAAAAGTAAAAGTGAAGCTTTAATAACAAAAAATATAACGTCCTAATTTTATAGGTCAAATGCGTCTATACAATAATTCAATAGAATTAACGAACCTTAACATCATGTGGAAGCTCATTAAGCTTAGCTTTAGGATTCTCATAATAAGCAGAGCCGCCACCAGTATTCTTAATCTCCCTCAAGTGAGTTAAATAATTATACCCATCGTCAGGAAACCCAAGTTCAATTATCTCCTTTCTAATATCATCCGGTAATTGAGTTCGGGTACCCGAATACCCGGCCCAACCATTGCTCTCCTCTTCATCTTCCGGAGCATCCGCGAAGATTGAGTTCGGGTCATCGCCGTTGTGTTCATCGGCGTCAAAGCTTTCGATTGAGTAGTTATTGTTGTCAACTCTGACGAATACTCTGTCGGTGGCGGCGGAGGGTCCGGATTCGTATACCGGATCCGAGGAATCGCGGGCGAATAACTGGAATGTAGCTGCTTTCTTCTTGTCGATGAACTTTTTCTTCCCCATTGATTACACACAAGTAGTAATCTCCGGCACAAGAGAGTATTTTGGAACTCTTATTCTAGCTGTAGAGAAGCTTTTGTACGCTAAAACCCTAAAACCAGAGAGCCACATGACACGTGAGTATCACGTGACATTTTTGTAATTTTTTTTTTTTAATCAGTAAAAGCTTTTTTTTTTTTTTTTAACAGAAACATAAAAATTTAAAACAAAGCTTAAGTGGGTGTTTGGATTAACTTTAAGCTGGACAAATCAGCTTTTAATTTTTTTTTTTTTTTAGTGTTTGACAAAGTTAAAAGTGCTTAAAATAAATTAAAATAAAAGCAATAAGTTGAGCAACTCCAACTTATTCTTTTTTGAGTAATTTATGCAAAATACTCATTGAGCTTAAAATAATTATCCTTCTCTACCCATTTGAAAACTATTTACAATATCTACCTACCAAGTTAAAGTTAATTACTTAATTTACCTACCCACCAATCCCAACTTTTTTTTACCCATTTGGATTGGCTTGACTTATTTGGCTTGTCTTGGCAATTTAGTAGCTTAGTGGGCGTTTGGACATAAGAATTGTAAAAAAATTTAATTGGGAGAAATTTTTTTTCAAGTGAAAATGGTATTTGAAATTTATAGTTGTGTTTGGACATGAATATAAGTTTGAGTTGTTTTTGAAGTTTTGTGAGTGATTTGAGTGAAAATTTCCAAAATGTATTTTCAAGTGAAAACTGAAAATATTATGAACAAACGCTGATTTCGGAAAAAAAGTGAAAATTTGTTAGAG